TCTCTTCTTAGTTTGAACTAAGGCTTTTAGTAATCAGCAAGTAGATGCAAGCAAGTAGATTGACTTTGGAAATTTGATCCCTGACAGTTCAAATTTAGTAGCAGGAACTTCTTGTGTAATTTATTATTTTTCTTGCTTTACTTTTATAAAGATGTATAGGATATTATTAGCAGAGGATCAAAATGGTTCAATAGGAATGTGCATATGACCTTATAAAATGATGCTTATTGAAATGAACTTCAAGAAATGGAAGCAAAAGTTTTTTTTTCAGTTATTTCTTTTTTTCTTTCTTTTTTCCATTTTGTTTATTCCCCATTGTCACTGTTTTGGGTTTCTGTATCCTTTGTCTTGTATATAAGTTTATTTGATTTGGGGAAGGGAAGGGGAATCACAGAAACAGTGGGACAAAGTGTGAACCAATGCAACAGCAGTATTCACTAGACCTTATGTTGTAAATCAGCTTTACAACTTGCGGGGGAAGTAGAAGAAAATAAGGGAGGGGATAACATTGTCTGAAAAGAAATGTAATTATTGCCTTACTCATGTAACTGTAACTCCTCTGTACATCATCTTTACAATAAAAATTTTAAAAAATCAATGGAAGACAAGAACAGAGATGAGCTGCTGATAACGAATCTGGAGCTTAATAAATTTGATAGAATCATTAGCTGTCCACACACAGAACTGTCAGTATGAGTTGGGCCTTCATTAAAGGGAAAATCAAGAAAAGTGCAGTGTTAAATTTACATTGAATGTAATGTGTGTACAAGGAAGCTATTGTTTGGTCTCTGGCAAAGGACTCTTCTCCCAGGGGCCTCTTCTCTTTTGTCGTAGACAGTGTATATTTTAAAAATAGATTATGAATGACTTAGAAGGTTGAAGATGAGTGCTGTGTGTTCCCTCTGGCTTCACCCTCTCCAACCCCGTGTCTGCATTCATGCCGGTCTTCATTAAGACCTCTTGTCTTGTCATGCTTACCCCACACTGTCACCTTTTGCCAGGCCAATGGTTTGATTTTGACATCCATCTACTAGTATCTCATGAATGTAGCTGTTACTCCAAAGTTCCTCAGTAATAAGAGTAGTGGGTCCCCCACCTCACCCCACCCCGCAGTATTAAAAATCAAACTGAGAGCTTCATGCTTGATAAACCAATGCTCTATCTCTTTGGTTATTTTTAAGGTAGGGTCTCATTTTATGTTGGTGTTGACCTGGGCTTCCCTTTGTTGCTGGGGATGATTAGGCTTATGCCCTGGTACCTACCCATTGTGTTTCTATCATAGCTTGAATAATGAGTGTGTACCACTATGCTTAGTTATTGGTTGAGATGGAGTCTTTAAAACTTCTTTTAGCCTAGGTTAATCTTGAACTGTGATCCCTTGAACTCTGCCTTCCATGTAGCTAGGATTATAGTCTTGAGCCACTACACCCAGCTTCATGTTTTAATATCCCTTCTGAGGGATAGTGCTTTGCACATTGTACACAACAGTTAGTTGACTTAGGACATGAAGGAAGGACTGTAAAGATCTCATTACCATGGAGGAACCGGATGCTTTGATAGGTATTTATCCTGCCCAAGATGCTTCAGTGCTAATTGAGCTGTGCGTTGACTATAAACAGTGTACTATGGAGACTTATGAGTAAAATTGTAGAGGAGATGTTCAAGAGAGTTGGAAAGAGCTTTTTAAGACCTTAATCACTTTGTCTATGTGCAAATATAGCCTGAGGAATACAAGGTAGTGTGACAGCTTGGGAGAACATTTTGTTAGCAGCCAATTCATACTGCTCTGTGTACTTCATAAACATCCTCTAATTTAGACTGCACTGTTTCAGACAGACTGGCTTTCCTTCTTCTCACCCCCTCCACCCACATCAGTTTGAATAAATGAGGTCTTATTGAATAGTTACTGAGTTGTTTAATTTCTATTCTTGATGCCTCCCCGTTGATTTTGCCAAATAATTCACCTTCCTACTTAAAACTGCTTGGACTTGAGTAACTCAGATAGATACTTTCATCTGACACCGGTTCCTATTTACAGTGTTAGACTTGTTTATTTTCCTCCTTGTTAGATTTCTTTTTTTATTGTTAAGTAGTTGTACAAAGAGATTATAATCCCATAAGTCAGGTTATGAGTACAGTACTTCTTGATCAATATCACCACTTCCATCCTTTCCCCTATTACCTCCCCTCTCATCCTTACCTTCAAGTTGCACAATTCAGTTTTTTAAATTGTTATTATAGAGGTGATGTACAGAGGGGTTACAGTTCCATAAGTCAGGTAACAAGTGTCTTTCTTTTTGGACCGTGTCACCCCTTCCTTTGCTATCTCCCAGTTCAGTTTTTACAAAATATACATTCAATATAATGACTGCATTTTCAACCTTCCTCCTTCCATTCATGTGTTCCCTCTTCGTCCTCCCTCCCCAAAAATGTTTCCACTTCCTGGTAGTAGATAAACAGTAAATTAGTTATTCAGAGGCGTTACCTTTGGGCTTTTACCCTAAGCATACCATCCTTTAGTCAGTGTGTTGTGTGTATACACAGAGAGCCATGTATATGTTATCATGGATGTTTATATTTTAGATCCAGTTTCCACGTATGAGAAAAAACCTGTGCCGTTATCTTTCTGAGCCAGATTTCCTCCACACAGTTTTTCCTAGGTCGATCCATTTCCCTGCAAATAACACTATTCTTTCTAATGGATAAATACAAATTTTATTGCATAATAATGAACCACATTTTCTTGATTCACTTATCTGTTGTAGGGCATCTGGGCTGTTTCCATAAGACTTATTTCCAAAATGCTCTCTCCTTTCTCATTTCCTACATATTGTAGTCTTATTTCTCTTAGTGCACTATTCTTTCCTACCCAGACTAGTAACATAGCTGTGTTTGGATACCATCTCTACTGTTTGCTAACTATGTTATCTGATGCAGGTTGCAATTTTCACCTTTGTGCTATTTCTAACAATGAACATAAAGGAGATTGTGTGTGTGTGAGAGAAAGAGTAATTGAGGAGGAAGATTATGAGCTTTTCTGACAATATTGTTTCATTGCAAACCCTAATAACTATGTTGCCACATTTGATTTCCAAAGTATGAATATGAGTCATTTTTATTAGACTAATTCTCAAGGTCTTCCATTTTTCCCATGGAAGTGATGGTGCTCTTATACCCTTAATATTGAAACTGTTGTTTCTGAAGCTCTGTCTTCTGTTGATTTTTCTTTTTCACTTGTTAATGGGTTTCTGCCATATTCTCATTGATCAATTCTTTCATATATAATTGAACTAGTTCTCTAGAAACTCTTTCCTCAACTTTATGAATAATTTTAGGTACTACTTTAAAAAATCAATGTATATTTAAAATGACTTATATTATTCACACAAGTTTCTTATCACAATACCAAAACAAATAAACTACAAAACAATTCATTTGTCTGCAAACATGAAATAACTATAGAAAAGATACTGACATTAAGTGATTGAAAGGGATGAAAGATGAATGGGAGGGTGTTGTTTATATGGCCCTTATTTTGTCAGTTATTTATTTTTGACTATTTTCACATTTAGTTAGCCTCTGCTTCTTGTATGGCCTTGTAATTTCAGTGATTTAACAATGAATATTCATGAAACAAGGGCTTCCTTCCTATAGAGCTTCCTATAGAGAGTCTGTGGAGGTTACTGGAGATGATGTTTATAGAGTACTGAGCATAGAACTTTTCAACTGTAGTTATTACTACCTAATGGTGATATGTTTTATTTGAGTGTTGCCCATTACTGGTTTTTTAAAAGGTATATAAGAGTAATTATTATCATGTTCAAAGACAAAATTAAGGTCATGTGTTTTATATTCAATTCGGTTTGGATATTTCAATTAGATGTACAAATGTGAGAAGTGCAGAATTTTATTATTAAAGTACTGGGATATGAACTCAGGACCTCATTCTTTCTCTGCTTACTTGCTTATCTGGTACCCTACAATTTGAGCCATGACTCTAGCCATGTTTTTTTTCTGGTTAATTGGAGATGGAATCTAGTGAATGTTTCTAGTAGGGCTGATCTTGAGCCGAAATCTTCTAGATTTCAGCCTCCTGAGTAACTAGGATTATAGGTGTGAGACACCTGTACCTGAGTCTAATATTTTTCTTTAGAGTTAACTAACAATACAAATTAGGATATTGTATCATCATTGTAATGTCAATGTAAGCTATTAAAACTTTTATATCTTGATATTCTTTTGATAAGATGCCCTTCCCATTTTGGAGATAACTTTAAAAATTGTAGCTGTGTGCTAAGGCACAAATCACTCCCTTGGATCTACCACTGTGGAAATAGGTTGTAGTTATTTTCCGAAGAAACATCTTTGGAAAACGTAGTATGGATTTTAAAAGCATGCCAGTGTGAAACATTTAGAAATTTCAGGTGGTGAAGCCAAGCCTTGGGAAATAAAATGACAGAGCATGACATTTATACAGAGAAAAGTGGAAGAAGAGATAGCTGTAATTGGCGTGATGGATACGAACTTGTTTGGTTATTAAAGGTGATGTAAAGGCACAGCACAGGTTAGCCATGCAGCTCTGCTGGAGAGTGCAGAGTCCACAGTGTCTACTAAGTGAAAGTAGATGTGTGGGTAAGAGTCCCCATTGCCCCACAGGGAGTAAGTATTTTTTAGCAGTAGATCTTCAAAATGTTGTCATGTGCCTCTTATTAGGTAAGAAAATATAAAGTTAGCATGAATCTTGATGTATTTGCCTATAAACCCAACTAATATAACAACGCATGGTGTAAAACATACACAGTGGAAAAGGTTGTGACAATTAAACCTGATAGTAAAGTTTGTTAAGATACCTTTATGTTCTCTATAAAAAATGCAGTTTTCCTGAGGCATCTACTTGTCCCTCTATGATGTTGGTGACTGAGAAGTGAGTTAGAGCTCTGCTGTCTGGAGAAAGGGGCCTCCTGCAATAACCACTCTTCCATTTATTGTTTGTGTTGCAGATGCAGAAGCCATGGAGTTGAGTTGCAGCGAAGTGCCTCTTTATGTAAGTCCTGAAGCACTGGGCTGCAGGCCCAAGTGGCTCTTTCTTAACTGGGTGACTGGAGTGGGGGAGAAATGTTTTACTTGTTTTTTTTTTTTTTTTTTTTAAACAACACTCTGGTTCAAATGTTTGTCTGGAGTCTTTTAAAAAGCTCCTGTCTTCTAAGTCTGGGCGTTAATTATATTTTCCTGAGTAATTTTTTAACTGTATAATTTCTAGATACAGAATCACTCAGTTTAGTTCTGTGGTTGATTTTTGAACATATTTTCCAATAATACCTTGGATAATAGGCAAAAAATACATATGTTGGGGGTGGGGGTGGACCTTGGTGTTGGCCAAAAGCATGAAATAAATATCGGAAGATAAAAGTGCCAGAACCTGTACGGAGGAAATTACAGGTTGGGGAACAGGGACAAGCCATGAGTTTTCTAGTAACCATGTACCTCTGGGGTAAAGGGGGTGTTTGTTCCTGCTCCACCAGAGACGTCTCTCCATCCACACAATGGCAGAGAATCAAAGTTCCTTCTCCTTGGAAAGGAGCTGTGTTGGGAGGCTTTGAGCCAATGGTTTGGGTATATGTAGAACTGTGATTAGCACAAAATATCAGGGAATTAGAGACTACATTTAGTCAGAAGTCTTTACTGATGAAAATACATTCATCTACCTCCTACACATCTCTACTCAGCCAGCCTGCGCACCCACAGCTTTCCTTCCTTCCTCCCCACATTTCTTCTTTCCTTCCACAAGCACCATTCAGACCACTATTCTCTGGAGGAAGAAAGGCTAATAAAATAAATGGATTTAAGAATAAAAATTTAAAAAGCTGCCTCTGGGCTACCCACGGATCTATATTACTCTCTCTCCCTCTCTCTTAATTGTGATTTACAGCTTATAAAATGCACTGTAGGCCCAGTCATAATTAAAGATAAAAAAGACTAGCCCCAGGCTAAACTCTAAAATACTTCAAAGTTTTGCTATGTGTGTTTGTGCGTGTGTGTGTGTGTGTGTGTGTGTGTGTGTGTGTGTGTGTGTGTGTGTGTGCCTGCCTGTCTTTTCTATAGCTAAACTTGTTCCACACAGCTCTTCTTCCTCAAAACAGACAAATTGCCAGGTGCTGGTGGCTCACATCTGTAATCCTAGCTACTCAGGAGGCTGAGATCTGAGGATCACAGTTCAAAGCCAGCCCAGGCAGGAAAAGCCATGAAACTCTTACCTCCAACAAACCACCAGAAAACCAGAAGTGGCGCTGTGGCTAAAGGGGTAGAGTGCTAGCCTTGAGCCGAAGAGCTGAGGGACAGTGCTCAGGCCCAGAGTTCAAGCCCGTCACCTACCAAAAAAACCAACCAAACAACAACAGAAAAAACCCAGACAAATCCCCGAGTGTAATCAGGATACACAACACTGTCATATAGCTGGTGTAGCTGTTTTGTAAACAAACCTGTTAGATTAGGACTAGATCAGGGCTGGTACACATTGGCTAAGTAGACGAAATACTTAAGTAGGCCACAATATTTTATACAATATATTTTTCTATTTAGTAAAAAATCCTGATTAGAATAAAATGAAAAGTATAGAAAACTGTTAGGAAAGTATCATAATCTCACCCCATATAATTATTATATTAAGATGGGAATGTCTAGTTTAAGGTGTGAATTCTTTTTCTTATTTTATTTCTGAAACTGAGATGTAACATTGATTCATGACATGTAGGTTTGTGCCTGGGATTACATTGGCTTCCTATCAGGTTTAATTTATGTTCCTTGTTTATAATACCTGATTAATTGCTTCCAAAATGATTTCCCTGTGATTTGCTTGGCATTAAAAGGCCAAGTTGATGTGTGTATAGATAGGCGTGGAAAGAGCAACATGATACATTCTATGTATAAATTAATTTAGAAGAGCTCATTTGATAAATATAAAATTCTAAGTAATTTAACATTCTGTCATACTTGGCATTTTTCTTCATGGAATATAAAAAGGCATATTTTAATTGATGTTATCCTAAGTTAGATGAAATACATTAAATATATTCAACCTAACTTACTCATTTTATGTATGTGGGCTGTATCCTGCTGTCTTCCCTTAACATTTTATGTCAGAATCATTGCTAATTGGCTTAAGGCCACCTGGCCATTTGTCCTCATCCAGTTACAAGTCAGCAGGGGTAAGTTGTAATGAAAACTAGTCTTAAACCACATCCCACCAAATGAATTATTAGTGTTTTAGTGCAAATATGGAACTGCATTACAACTGGGCACTGATAGCTCACACCTATAATTCTAGCTACTCAGGAGACTAAGATCTGAGGATTAAGATTCAAAGCCCACCTGGGCAGCAAAGTCTATGAACTGAGGCCTGGATCTTTTTTTTTTAAATTTTTTTTTATTGTGAAAATACTGTACAGAGGGGTTACAATTACATGGGCAAGATAATGAGTACATTTCTTATCAAGCATTGTAGCCTCCTCCTTTGTTTCCCCTTCCCATCCCTTCCCATTCTCCCCCCACCCCCCACCGAATCCTTCCCCCCCCACCGAATCCTTCCCCCCCCCCACCAAAGTTGTAAAGTTCGTTTTCGACATGACAACTTGTACTTCTCATTGTTGCAATGGGTCCACCTGTATCCTTATTTAAACGACTTGTTTTTCCCCTTCCCCTCCACAAATTATACCGACATCAAATACAGTGAAAGCAGGGGTTATATTGTGGGGGAGGGACATACAAAGCAACAAAGAAATAATCTTATAAATGTGTTAGAAACAATCCCATGAAAGAAAAAAAAAAAAACATTTGAATACATATCTTAGGGTTAGGCCCTGGATCTTGTCTCTTAGTTTTTTCACTTAAGGCTGATTAGCACCATAGCTCCACTTCTGGTTTTTTGATGGTTAATTAGAAGTAAGACTCATAGATTTTCCTGCCCAGGCTGACTTTGAACTTTGATCCTCCAATTCCAGCTAGGAGTAGCTAGGATTATAGGCATGAGGCACGGTGCATGGCTGTATTTTTATTTATTTGCCTATAATCTCTTTTGACTGAATTCTTGTAATATTCTTACAGTTAAAATGCCCATTTGTTTCTATCTTTGGGTCACTACATAATTCCCTTTCTAGACAGTACAAATAACTTTATATCTAATCTATGGAGGCACTTTTTTTTTTAATGTCCACTATCTTGCTTGGATCCATGAAGAAAATTTTTAAAAAATTATTTTCTTTTGTGTCTTATATTATTTTCTCTGAAGAATAACTAATATACAAGGGCTAGACTGTTTTATCTTCTTGGGGCATGCAGGTTGAATTCGGGAGGCATGATTTTTATTTTTGTTTTCTATTTTGTTATGTCTGGTTGTGTCTACTTTTCCATTTTGTATTTGCCAACACAGTTTTTAGCTCCTATTGTTTTTAACTGATTTGCAGTGCTTTTCACATTGTTTTTTTAATGCTCACAATTTAATAATCTTTTATTTTTTCTTGTAAACATAAAGCAAAACTTAAATTATTTTTGTCTTTCCAGAAATCTATTTCAGAAGGAGATGTAGTTGCTGGTTCTGTCTCTTTTGCTCTAGATTTTCTTTTAAGTCTCATTTCTGTCTGCTAATCTTTAGGAAGGAGATTCTGGGATGCAGGGACGATTCTGAACACAGCCACAGACTCAATTTTTTTAATAGGCAGCAAAGCTCAGCAGCTCCCTGTGTTGCCATTGCAGGAAGGAAAACATAGACTATAATAAGATCAGAAGAGAAGCAGGGTTGGCTAGACTGGCAGCTGAGCGTTTATAATGTTGATTTGTAGAGCCTGGGATATGAACATTGCAAATCCAATTTGCAGCCTCTGGCAGCTTCCTGCCTCTGTGCTTGAAGTGCCCTGAAGGAGCAGCTCTATACAAGACTGAGCTGTTTGTTCCCCACAGAAAAAAATAGCAGAGGTTGAAGCTTAATTTTCACATTGTTTGGCCAACTGGCACTAGGAGGTGTATTTTAAGCTAGCAAAGATGTAGTTGAGAGGTTCTCCATCTTTATAGTGAAAGCCTGAAAAGGGTACATAAAAATCAGGGCAGGTGGTCTGAGCTGTTGATTTTCTGGCTTAAAACTGATGCACCACCTGAGTGCTGATGTGTATTGGAACACTACCTCAATCTCTATTTTGTTTGATTTGATGTTATTGCTTCCCTTCCCCTCTCCTATTACCCCCCCCCCCCTTTTACAACCCTCCCTTCCTATCCCTCTCTTTATAAAAAATGTTATTTTTATTATCTTGAAATTGTTGTACAAAGAGGTTACAATTCAATATGGCAATTTATGAGTACAGTGCATCTTTATCAATATCACCCCTTCCATGGTCTCCCTCATCCTTCCCAACCTCACTGATCTCAATTTTCTTTTTCTTTTGTTTTGTGTTATAGGGATTCGAACTCACAATTGCTTTAATTAAGTTTTGGATAGGTGTTTCCTTTCTCTTCTCTCTCTTCCTTTCTTTTTCTTTTCTTTCCTTATTTCCCTCCCTCCCTCCTTCCCTCCTTCCTCCTTCCCTCCCTCCCTCCTTCCTTCCTTCCTTCCCTCCTTCCTTTCTTCCTTTCTCTCTCTCCCTCTCCCTCCCTCTCTCTCTCCCCCTCCCTCTCTCCCTCCCTCCTTCTCTCCCCCTCTCTTTCCCTCTCTCCTAAACTGAAGTTGGACTGTGCTACTTATATTACTGTGCTCACAGGCACATTTAGTCATCTCTAGCTTATTTGTATTTGTTGAGGTGAGGTCTGATCCCTACCTTTAGTATAGCTGGTATTACAGATATGAACCACTGTACCCAGCCTTCTAATTGTATGTATGTTTGTTTTCTTTTTTCTGGTTCTGGGATTTGACCTGGGGTGCTGTCCCTGAGATTTTTGCACAAGGCTAACACTCTACTACTTGAGCCCCAGTTCCAGCTTTTTGGCAGTTACTTGGAGATAAAGAGTCTCATGGGCTTTCCTGCCGGGACTGGCTTTGAACTGCTAAGATCTCAGTTTCCT